CTAGAAAAAACACCTAGAAAAAACACCCAAAAAAAGGTCTAAACAAAGCACATCCATGCAAGAAAGCAACAAGAAAAATTGACAATTTCTACAACTGGATAGTAAGCAGAAGTCAACCCTATACAGGTTTTATGACAAAATTCAGGGAGGTTTATCAATGGAAGCAGAGGGTGCATACTCAGAAGGTTAGTCAAAGATATCGAGACCTTAGGGTTACCAGTTTAAGGCCCCTCCCTGAAGAAGTAAAATTTCCAATCCTCTAATAGCTGAATCTCTCTCCCGGAAAATGTGTTTTCCTTCTGTTCTTACAGGAATCCCTCCTTTGACGAACTCATTTCTAGTACCAGGCACTTTTGTAAGATAACTTTTTTGCTTGATCAAATATACTTCTCCTTGGAAATGGACATACAGCTTCCACTTCTTGATCTACTTCATACTCAAACAGAAATACTCCTTCATGTTGAGACTTCACTGAACTATGAAGAATCAGCATGCATTGGAAAAGAAACATATCAACTCAAGCATTTGGAATTACAGCTTGGACACTAAACACAATTGGAACATTCTACATGTCAGCGGGCACTACCGGATTGAAGCTGGAGGAATGTTTGCAAATTGGGCAATGTCCATTATGGAAGTACGCATAAAATGCAGAACCTTGTAGGTAGTTAATCAACTAGCTGAAAACTAAGCATTTGGTCACCTTACATCAAAGCTGTGACATTTTCTACTCACATCTATCATCTAAATGGAACTGACCTTCCTCATCCTAAACATGTAAAGTTATTCATCCAAAAAAACATACATTAATGCTCCGCTGTCCCTTAATATTCAAAATGGTTACTTTTACTTCCTATGGCAGTATAACAAAAACTTGTATATAACAACACCAAGATATTCAAATGGTACCTAACTCTGTCAACCCATTATGAGGTGCACACAAAAATACTCATAAGGAACCAAGAATGGGGCAAAATAATAATAAGGACAAGTGTAACCAGATAACAATAACAAATATAAACAAATTGTAATCTGAATTTGTAGCACAGTTATTTTTAACTAGAAAAACTATTAGAAAATTAAAGAAGAAATGGAAGAATGCATTTTATTCATTATTATCTGATAAGTATCAACATAAAAGAGTGAGATCTCAAAAACAGGCCAAAAACAAAAAAATGCATATAATGGTTTAGGTAAATCATGAAACTGACGTTAAAATGTGACCCAGATGTCACAGAAAAAGAATGAGAATAGACAAGTTAAACAACTGATCTATATGATAATAATAACTTGTTTTATGGAGAAGAGTATATTAATAAGAAATTAGGAAAACAACCTCAGCAGAAGCACCAGAACAAAGATCACCGGTAATATGCACGTCCTTGCATTCATCATCAACACAATGCCGTCCCCTTTCAGTAGTCTCACATTGCAACTTGCTCTTAATCTGAATTTGATTTAGCTTCTCCTGGATCTCAACAAGAACTAGCTTCATCTTTGATGTTTCTTCTTCCAGTATTTTCATGACTTCAGATCTTTGCTGATTATAAAAATCATGCAATGCTGACAACCCATTCTTAACAGTGCTGACCAAAATATTCTACATTTAAAAAGGCAGGTGTGAGATAGGAAAAATAGAGATGCATACAAATATACAGGAAAGTATCATCTTCCTAACAAATTAAATCCGTACTTGCTTTCTCTCTAGAAATTGAACATTTTTTTTCATATGTCTCTCGATCTGAAGTCCCTGTAAGAGCAAAGAAAGGGAGGGTGTTGGTTGACCAAACCCAGATTAAGGAACTTATGCTTTGTAATATACAGTCCATGACATACCATTCTTAAGTTGGATTGAAGGTTATCAATAGAGTTTTTCCGTTTCTCAAGTTCTTCTTCTAAAGAGGCCTGCACATATATATTTCTTAAAGCTATAAGAAGAAGTACCAGGAGAAATCCATCTATGTTATTCATAATTCATATTACAGGCTTGCAAGCAAGACACAGAATGAACGCCACTCAAAACATGATCAAAGTAATATATTCCTGAAGAAAGGGTTGTGTGCAATTCAATTTGTGTTGATATTCCAAGTTTTGCTCTATCAAGTACACAAAGGTCAAAAATAAGTCAAAACTTAGCAATATTAACAAAAAGACACAGCTTATACATTTTATTGCTGCCATCATGATCAACTATGGAATTACTAAGACTTATCGTTGGTCTTGATACTCCTTTCTCTTTTACGTATGCAGGTGTGGGAGTTTGCCTCACCCTCCTTCATATCCGAGTGAATATTCTCGAAAAGAATGATGCCAGGAAATTAACATTCGAAAATTCGCAACCAACTAGATAAATTATAAGGTTGTAAGAAAAATAAACCTCGGTACATCTGGCAATGAAAGACAGCCAACCAACTCCCTAACAACTGAAAGGAAGCAGTCTGAAAATAGTGGAATAAACAGGAGATAACCAGAGTTTCCATGAGACTAGAGCATAATAGAGACCTAAAAATTAACTCTAAATAAATATATAGGTAAAATATATAATAATTAAACAGACCAAGTTTATATGCATGTGTATCCATATGTATCAGATAGACTTGGACTCGCTAGAATTTGATGTCATGACATCAGTTTTTACAGTTCAATTCATGGAAATTGATCTATATCGTCTCAGGTGTCTACAAACCCAAAAAAAATCAAATGCTTTCTTACCCAAACATATGAGATTGACAGAAATGTTATTTTACTTGAATCTACACTTTATGGCAAAGAAAATTCCAATCCAACTTTTGAACTTGCTCTAAACACTTTAAAACTCTATCGAACTAGTTTGTGTTATGTATTAAGCGTTACACCATCAAATAATCAACTCGGTTTTTAGACAGTTCACTTTCATGCTTGCTGATTTATTTGGAAAAGAACTTTATAACTTGACCTTATTTGTTTTTGAAAACTTCAGAGGATGTAAATCAACTTTAATGCTAAGAACCTTTAATATCAATTGTTAAACATTGAATTTTGATAGGAATTATTTGGTTCCAAAGTTTCAAAAAGTAGTCAGATGTGTATCTGTGTATATGTGTGCAGAGTTTACTGTACACAAGGTATAATGTAAGAGCCTATATCAACTTGCAAAAAAACAAGTTGAACATCCATATATAATGATCCAAAAACTTCAGTATGATCTACACATTCTAAATCCATTTTGGATCAAAAATTCATGAATGAAAATTTACTAGCCAATCATCTCACAGTATAAAAATGAGCAGCCTGCAACAGTCTTAGAAACCAATTATTTTGATTTGCATAATACATAAAATTTCAAATCCGTGTAACCGTTGCCATATGAGGTTTAGTATGTGCATCACTAATGAACAGTTAGAATCATCATATATGGATTCCAACCTTGTTCTTCATAGATAGGTGAAAACTCTTCTATTACACTCTAGTCATGGGCATATGACCTGACGTCATGGGTGAGCACAGGGAGATTTTCAAGTAATAAAAATTCCATGATGAGTCAACTTTCTAAATGACTCGCGCCTTTTCATAGTGTAAATAGTCTTTGTTGGATGTAGATCACCCAATCAACTCGGTTTAATTAATAACAAATGTTCATATATATTTGATGGTGTTTCGAGATGAATTGTGCAGGTTATACAAAGTTCACAATTAATCCTGGAAAGATATTTGAAAGCTAAAATTAACTTTGAGCATATCGGAATGTCCATATCTTTGTTACGAATCTAGAGGAATAAACAAACTTGATTTGGAGTTGTAAAGCTTAAGTTATGAAGGTTTTAGCGAGATAGGATCAGAAAAATCTGACAGCTGGTCTTGGCAGTCAGGTGGCTGAAATCATGCACAAAAGATGCACACAGACTGATACAAATACAAAGCGGCTGGACCAAGACATCAGGTGGCTGAAATTCAATCTAGGTGGCTGGTAATATACATCAGGCGGATGAAGTTGGCTTGACAAAGAACAGGCTCTCTGGAAAAATTACAGGGGCGGCTGGTTCCTAGACACCAGGTGGCTAGAACCTAGACCAGACATCCGGGCCAGGCGGCTGGTCTATAGGGCAGCCAGCTGGTGCCAAAAGACCAGGCGGCTGGTCGACGAGTTGAGCTGCATCGCTTGATTTTTCAGATATGTAATCTGGACCGTTTTCTTTGAGGTATATTTGACATATACATTTCTAGGGTTGTTCTCCTACAGATTAGAGAATAGAGAGAAGAGAGATTGCAGGGATTAGAGAATTCTCTTTTAGAGAGAGAAAAGAGAAAAGCTAGGGTTTTTTTCTCATATAAGGATTATTGGAACTTTTCGACTTTGATCTCTCGGAGGTTTCTAATAACATCAACGCTACAAGATCCCCAGAGACATCGGCATCATCTACAAAAGATCAAGGGATGTATTTTTATCTTAATACTCTTTTCAATTTGAATTGTCAACCTGTGGATCAAGGTTGAATTGATTCCGCTAGAATTCTCAGTCTTGGGGTAGAATTAGTGTGAGAGATCGTCTGAGAGTTGTATTGGCTTTACGCCTTGCTGAGATTTGGTAGGATCAAGTGTAAGAGCTTTGACGAACTTGGGAGTTCGGTACTTTCTCATATAGTGGATCAATTCCACTTGGGTGAAGTCTGTGGATGTAGGCGTCATGCTAAACCACGAAAAATCTTTTGTGTTTGTGTTTGATTAATTGCTTGGTTGTTTATTCCCGCTTATTTAGCTTTAGAACTATATAAAAATAACCTAGTTTAGACACAACCCTACTCACCCCCCGCTAGGGTAGCCTAACACAATTAGAGGAAAGATAAAGAAGATGGAAGAATTTTACCCAGACATTAAAACAATGCTTTTCTTCTACAAGTGTTTCTTTTTTCATTCTTTTCCCCCCTCCCTCCCTCCCTCTCTCTCTCTCTCTCTCTCTCTCTCTCTCTCTTCTCAGCTAATGCTGAACAATAATTTTTAAACCCAACCAATCTCTAACTCGTAGACCATGGATTTGCTGAATAAGATGAATGGTGAATATCATCTATATGATTCTATAATAGGACTCGTTATGGAATCCACGTAGAAGTTCTCATTATGTTCTTGTTAGAAAAATTTTCTAGAGGCTGTTTGCAAGATATGAACCCATGACCTCCAAGCATTAACCTTACCACTGTGCCAAGGCTCACCCTTTTACATTTTGAAAAAGATAACTCAATTTGTGGCCACCCTGATGCATGAGTAGAATGTTATGAGAACATCTTATATGTAGTATATTACATGAGTAGAATGTTATGAGAACATCTTATATGTAGTATATTACATCCAACAGTTGGATCTTCAATTTGGATGATGTGTCATCCATTGCAAAGTTATAGTATTAAACTTGGACAGTTTTTAAAACTAAATTTTATTTGACTAGATGTAGGAAAAGTGGTGCATTAGATATTTTCTAACCCTCCTGGACAAGAAATTGTAGCCCTTCAAAAATCCAAGAGAAATTTATTCGATGTCAAACAGTAAACCCCACGCATAAATGATTAGGTAAATGGTCGTCCAAGTCTTTGCTAGATTTAGGAATAGAAGAGAAGATTCAGATAAATGCAGACATTTGATTATAAATATATAAACATAGAACAATTCCCCTGGTGAGCAGAAAGCTCTGAACATCATATAACCTTTTTGTTCCAAGCATATAAATAAGATTCAGAAAAATGGAAGTAAAGAAGTAATCATCAAGTAAATGAGGGCTTTGAACTTTACAATGTACTTCGAAGTGGAGGCTTTACTATCACTATTGTAAATCCAGCTGTCTGCAGGATCATCTAGAAGACGCGAACATTTTCCTTGCCATGTGTGATCTCCTGAAGATCCGGTCTCTTTTTCAAGGATCTCATAGAACTTGTTAACCACCTAAAAAGACAAAATATCATCTCCTGAAGAAAAAATTGCAGGATGCAACAGTGTGCAAATGAATTGGCAAAGTGAATTTTTCTAAGATGCCTATCACTGTATTATTATCACTAATTCTGATGAGTTAACAACTTTAAATCAAGTAACTGCATGAAGAAAAATTGATAATGGCCAAGTTGCTAAAGCACATAAGTTGACAAGAAGCATCTTTGAAGAAGCCTGATTTGCTGGCATGTATCAACTGCAAGCTTAGAAAGTCCAAGCATTTGATCTTTTTTCCTCGCATAATATTTAGTGGAATCTAGCGTCCTAACCAAATTTTGAACCTCTTTTTATTTCTCTATCCCTTTCTTTGTCAGAATGTTCTCTCCAACACATCAATTCTTCCCAAACTTCATCCAAAACTATTGACTTACTTATATATCTTAATAAGCACATAAAATTTTAAAGCAACTAAACATTTTAGCCATATAAAAATTTATGGAAGGTACTTTCATTTAAGTCCTTTTAAAGGACTTACTATACCATAAGCAAAAGAAATACCAAACATAGCCTAAGTAACCGAAAGGGGGGAAAGATTTATTGTTTATATATTGATCAACAATAACTTTAAAATTATGTAATGTATCGACCTTGAGCCAAAGCAAAATAGCACAGACTACTGTGCGCAACTGGTGTATAGAACAAAATGCTCCATACTTCAACTGCAATATTGGAGCAATAAATCCACTAGAAGGAGAATGACAGGAAGAAACGTATATCCACCAGGAATATTACTCAGTCACTTTCAGCATAAAATATAAGAATAAATACAATACAATATATTGTTTAAGATGACATATAAATGTCATTACAAGAAAAAACAGGAAGAAAACCTAAAACGTATGTACCTTCTCAAATGTCTCATTTTGATCTTTCAATTGCCTTATTTCCATCCTCAAGTTGGCATTACGTTGCTTTTCGTCATTGCATGTTGATTGGAGTTCCTCCACTCTGCCAGAACCACCAAACGTCAGATCACGAATCTATGTAGTACTAGAAAACAGATATCAACTTAATGCCTTATAGTCACTTAGTCACCCATGACCCTTAACCCAGCAAAACCAATTTATACATATTGAAAAATCATAAAAGTGTCACCTTTCACATCCTTTAGTAAAACTTATGTTGCATGGGTACAGGTCCGGGTGCCAGGTGAGAGTACAGGTACGGATACAAGACACAACAAATTTGTAAAAGGTAAGGTATGGGGACACGGCTATATAAATATGTATATACACATATATTATATATTGGAAGTAATAATTGATATGAGAACAAGGATGAGAATTAAAATTCTTATAACATTTTTATGTTTATCTTATTATGTGGATTATGAATCGGAAAATTATTAGTGTTTGAACTAGACATCTAAATGACACTTCAAAATCATAATTCGGAACCTGACCGATATCCATGAGTTCCAAGAAGTGGATGTGAAGTGTATAATACAAGTCCAAAAAATGTATGACAAGTGTTTTAAATTAAACATGTATTGTATAATTGAGAACACGCGTGAATAAATATGTAAGCATATATATACAAGGTGCAAGGAGTGTGCAAGGAGTTTGGGTATGGGTACATGTCAAGTACGGGTACGTCTTCAGATTAGAAGTACCCAGCTACCGTAGAGTAAAACTTAAAAAAAAACGGAGAATAATTTTAACAATTGTTCATCACAAGTGTGATACAGTAGCACCTACCATTGGAAAAACTTCAAATGATAACTATTCCTGTCACCAAGGCTAACATTAAACGACTACTAATCTCCTAGTTCAAAGAGATAGGACTCCTAGCTCTTTGAATTAATTCTTGGCTTACTTTCCAGCACATCCAACTTAATCTCTCATGGTGTATGTTATTTGACAATAACATAGGTAAGTTGATGAGACTAGAGAGGGGATATTTTTCTAAGTACAAATGAAGAAATGATCTGCGGACTAAAGTTTAACGTTAGCACAACAACAAAATATATGGGAAATACAATAGAAAAAAACAATGAGAATAAATGAGGAAAAAACAATTCATATAGATGGAAAATAATTAGTTGAGATTGGTCATTTCACACGGTCGTATCAATTGTTCAAGAAGACATTGAAATTGAAGAGTGTGTTTTATCATCGCATGGATGGAGACAATTTGCGAAGGATAAAAGATAGGATATGAAACTTGTGCAATTATACAATGTTGAATGTTCCAGTAGACAAAAAAATGCATAAGAATAATTGGAGATGGTTACAATGTACAATAGAAACCGACACAGTGCATGCCACAGGAATGAAAGGATCAAAGATATGTGCAAACCAGCCTCTAAATAATTAGACATATCTAAAATTATACTAGAGTTGGTTGTTTTAGATTTGTAACTGCATTTTTCACACTTTAACAATATCCAATGTATGTAACCAAACTGAAAATCAGGAAAGAACTTAACACTCCACAAGAAAACCTAATCTTATGCTGTATTACACTCAATACCATTCACAGTGATACATATAACAAATATAACAATGTAAACCACAGATTCATGGACCATGAAGTTTTTCAGATGCTAGACATAAGTTTTGAATCTTGTGTTAAACAAACATAGGGAACAACAAGGCAAAGATCAGTTACTAAAAGAAAATATGAAGAGGCTAGACGTAGGTCTGATGAGTACCTGTTCTCAGCAATGGTTAATCTTTCAGATGCACTGTGCTGTCTCTCCTTCACCCTCTCAGACTGCATGAACAAATAGAGCAGATCATTTGCATAAGAAGCAAAAGAAAAAAAAAAAGACTTCGTAAACAAAATGAACTCTGTAAAATTACGTTTACAGTTTGTACCTCCATTAAAGCATGGTCCCTTTCTGAGAATGCAGCAGCAACACAACTTTGGAAGAACTTCAACTGTTTCTCTGCTTCCTTATTCTGCACCAGCCCCAAAAAAATTAGTATAGCTTTAAATTGAATTAACAGATTCACAAAAAGAAATCATTTTCAAGTTGAATCAGTAGAACCCTCCACATTGCTTCAAAATTCAACTTCAAACTACAGGGCCCATACGATTAAAACCTAAAAGACAGGAAATTGTATTTCTGTACTCATAAGGGCATTGGAAAAAACATAATGAGACATCAAGACTCCTAGGTACAACTATAAGAAATTATGTTCCTTGAAGAACAGCAAAAATGTAAATAACCACAGTAGATAAACAACAATGAGGACGATAATAATAACAACGACGACGACGACGACGACGATGATTATGATAATGATGGTTATGAAGACAAATGCTACATTGTTCAAGGGTAGTAAAGTTCACCCGGGGGAATTATTTAAATCTGCAGTCTTCTTAATTCAGTATAACAGCGATGTCTCTCATATACAAGGTAAGTTGCAAGGACTGTCGATCCCATAGAGTCAAAGAAAAAGGGAACAGACTGGAGAATGTCTCTTGATGGCACGATCTAGAATGAATTCAAATAAAATAGCCAGCAGTTCATCGTTGAAAGGAACTCAATCACAGCAAATGTTAATGACTGCAGCATGCAAAGAGGAAGAATTTGATATAACAGATGCAGTAGTGATGATGGTTGATGATAGTGTTGATAAAGATGCATTAATGATCTTTATTGGTATCAATATTTTATCAGACTAGTGGATTCTGGAATGAGGGTGAGCCTTGGCGTAACAGTATGGTTGTTGCCTTGTGACCTAGAGGTCATGGGTTAAAATCTTGGAAACAGCCTCTTCGCATATGGGTGTAAGCCTGCGTACATCTGACCCTCCCTAAAGCCTACAATGGTGGGAGCCTCCTGCACGGCTATCCTTAGTGGATTTTGAAATTCAGAACTTTGCACCACAAGCTCTAGAAGACCTTGGTCTGATTTGTTCAAAGAGAAAAATGGCATATTCAGTTGTGTTATGGTTCAAGTTGTTAGATTGCTGGTGTAAGAACAATGAAGTCAAGATATTTGATGAGCATTTATGATCCCGATGATGTACATTACATATCAAAAATGTGTGATCATCTAGTTCCGTTGATAATTTCAGGCACAAGGTGCAAATGTTTCTAATGAATAGTGTAAAGCTACCTGAGATATATCAGGTCCATGTAAGTGGAGTTCAACTAATTCTGCAGCAGGTGAAACACATATTTTGCTGGATAAGGATAGCACATTGAAGGCAAACAGTTTCCTGATGTACTTTCCTTTTTGATATCGCAACAAGTACAAGAGCTTCGATATGTGCGATATTGGACACTAGAAAGAGCAGATTCAAATTTGACATCAGGCTAAACTTGGGAGCAAGAAAGCATCTGATGTACTTTCCCTTTTTACTCCCCTGGATCTCTTTCCTTCATATCTCAATTTCAATTATTTTTATTAGTTATGGACCTATGATTTTTTACTAAATTAATTATAGAAATCTAATAGTCGGTTAAAAAGAAAATAACATATAAAGAGAGGAGAGGCAGTCCGATCTGATGGAGCGCATGGTTTAATGATAGGGCTGAATATTGGAGGAAGAAAGGATGGAAAAAAAGTAAATATGGAATTAAAATATATACATATAACAGCTCTAGTTTTTTACCAATTAGTTCTAAGTTAAAAGTTGGGATAATTTGAGGGACTACAACTCTCATTTTTGTATAGAGAAATGAAAAAGGTGGGACAATTTTTTACTATTATCCAAGTTCTAGTTTGTTGCAGCTCCAATTGACTAACACCGTAAAATTTTATACTAGCTCTAGTTCTAATCTATGTAGCACGGACACGGATCCGACACGGCCATCCGACACGCCGACACGAGGCAAATCCTAAAAAATACATAGGATACGTGTGTTCGACACGTGTGTCCGACACGGACACGACACGACACGGCTTCATGTTATGCGTGTCCGTGCTTCATAGGTTCTAATTGACTAACACCATAAAATTTTAGATTTTTTTTCATGAAAATCACCTTTAAAATAGGATGGTTATATGGGAACCACTTTCAATTTTTAATTTATACAGAAATCACATTAAAAGTAGGTTTAGCTTTCAATCAACTACTTTTGGCCAATTTTTGGTTTAAATTTACACTCAATCCATATGACTCCCTTTCTAATTACACACGTTAAGTACATATTTCTGCTTTACCCACCCTTAACCTCAAATTTCTCTCTATTCAATCAAATCCTAACCCTAATCACCATTTCCTACCTCAATCAAATCCTAGAAATAGGAGACAAAGAGGGCCCATATTTGGAGGAGGATGGAAGAGGGTGAGGTGGGAGGTGAGAGTCGATTAGTTGTTGGCAATATTCCATTTTTAGGGTTTGATTGAGGTTGAGAATGGAGATTAATGTCAGAATTTTATTGGCTAGAGAGGAGTGAGGTTGATGATGGGTTAAGTGGGAAACAAGTGCTTAGCATGTGTACTTGATGAGGGTATTATAGGGATTGAGAGAAATTTAAACCAGAAATCAGACAAAGACAGTTGATTAAATGCTAAGCCAACTTTTAAGATGATTTCTGTATAAATTAAAACTTAAATGTGGTTTTCGTATAACCACCCTGTTTTAAAGGTGGTTTTCATGAAAAACGCTAATTTTATCCCACAAACTATCTCAGTTCTAGTTTTGAGTTCTACTTGACTAACCCGCCTTAGGTGGTTAGAAAATCAAGGTAGAGAACATTGTGAACTCTAGCTTTATGCTTGAAACCCTCTAAGAGTACATTACTTACGTTAAAATCAAATTAGTAATTCTAGCAAGGGCTTGGTTAAATATTATTTGATGCCTAGAAGATAATTTAGCACCAAGTCATGTTTAAACTTGACACATAGTGTGTGTTTGGCAACTCTACAAAATTTGTTTTAGTTGAACAACCTACGTTCTAGCTTTTAGTTTGGCAAAATTTGGGCCCAAGTTGAACTAGTTTTTTCGTGTTCAAATTCTAGCCTTTAAACTAGTTTTTTTTCGACCAACTCCTATACGGACCAACTTTGGCCTAGTTAAGAAAAAACTAGTTTTATTTGGAGTTGCCAAACACACCCCTAGAACTTTGTCAACTGACTCATGGAAATAGTCTCTTGTAAAAATGCAAGGAAAGGTTGCATATATAAACCCAACGTGGTCCAACCGCTTCTCGGACCTATGCATACCTAGAGCTCTAAGTTACCTGGACACTTCATTTAGGCCCTTGTATCTGTGTTCATGTCTGACACTCCTTGGAAACTTCTTGGATATAAAGCATATATTTATTTAGACGTGTATCCAATTATATAACACATGTTTTAGTCAAAAACTCGTGAAACGCTTCTTGTAATATAACTATGTAATACATATATATAAATAAGCATACTTATAAATATATATATACTCATAAGTTATAAGTATATACTTATAAGCATACTTATAGTATATATGTATAAGTATATACTTTAGGGGAGCATTGTCTGCTTACGTGGACTGCACCCTTTAGGCCTTGATCATGATTTCTGTGTTGCAATCTCCACATCCTCCAACCTCCTCCAAACACCTTTAATCTCCAAATATGAACACCTCCACAACCTCCTCCGACCTTCAACAAAACCTCCTCGACCGTCACTTAAATGAAGAACAAATCCGCTTAGACATCAATCCGACACCTAAGCCTTCTATAACATTAACATTTACTATCAATTATTATAATTAAAAAATAAAAAAGAAAACCTCATAGGCTCTAGGCATCGAGTCCAACGTATAGACCTCCTAGCGATTTCTATAATATTGTTAGTTATTATTTTAGCTATTAGTATTTAACTATACATGGTTTACTGTGGATCTAAGATTGCTATCTTTTAAAAAAAAATTAATGAATTTAATACATATTTTTATCAATTATTTTAATTAAATAATTTTAAAGATAGTAAAACGCCTAAGTGCCGCCTAGGTGTATGTCTAGGCGTCTAGGCGCTGGCTGAAACGCCTAGTCCGTCTAACGTCTTCTATAACATTGATACTTATACATACTTATAAGTTAGATATTTTTTGCAAAAGTTCTAAGTGATTTTTTGCAAAAAGTATTACAATTTTTTTGAGAAAAAAAGAAAGAAAAGGAAAAAAATATGGCTTTTCCGGTGTCCTGCCCAAAACTGGTTGGACCCAGACCCGAGCCCGGCCCGGTACACCTGGGTCCGAGCAAGGCCTTTTGCTCGGCCCAGACTCGGATTTCCGGGGCAGTTCCGGGGCAGGGTGCCTGGTACGGATGGACACCCCTACTTTTTTAACATATATCGCACACTTCACCTCAAATTTATGCAACTCATTGGACTCGAGAAAGGTTAGTTTAGCACAAACTTTGTTCACAAGTATGATTTTAAAGGGTCGTTTGGGTATCTAGTTCAAATATGAGTGATTTATCAATTTGTAATCTACTCAATGAAAGAAAACATAACAATTGCATGAGGATTGTAGTTCTTATAACATGTGGGGAAAAAATATCGATCTCATATAGATTATTAATTTTAATATGTATATATATAGTCGTGTCCTAGTATCCTAACTTTTACTATTTTTCCGTGTCTTCTATCCATACCCATGTCCATGTCTGCACCCGTATCTGTGCAACATAGCTTGAGCTTCATGCATTGGTCAGCCCTTTTCTTTTACCAAGAAGATAGTCTTAAGGGTACATTCTGACTAGTGAGGCCGGCTTACTATGCCTTAGGCAGAAGTTGGGTAACCTTCTGCAGGATGAATAGAGGGAAAACAGATAGAACATGAGGAGGAGGTCTTGAGGGTCGTTTTTCCCCCATCAGCTCTCAGTGTCTTTTCTCTAGACGATCAGCCTTTAGCATTTCCTTGGTATTTGTATTGGACGCTAAAAGCTTGGAGATTTTTATATCTTATCCAGTGAAAAAGGTGTGATCTTTTGAGTAGTGTCTTTGTAGTCTCTGATTAATTAAGAGAAGGTCTCCCGCGCCTGGTGGTACCACAAATACGATCTTGGTTCCTTCTGTGGATTCGTTCTTAGATCCCTCGATTAAAGTAGATGCAATTTTACTACTCGAATTATAACTCAAAAGATCCATAGAAAATCATTGTAATATTTTTGTAGCATAGGATTGAGCTTGAATGCATGTACCAAAATGTATTATACATAAAGAAAAATGATTTAAGGACCCAAAATATGGGACCAAGGGAGAAAACAGGTGATGTGTCCCCTCCCTATTGCATAATGAGTTGGTCATGCCAACTCATTATGCAATAGGGAGGGGACACCTCACCTGTCTCCTCCCTTGGTCCCATATTTTGGGTCCCCGTAGCAGCACTCATACATAAACTATGTGCATGTAAAGTCACAACACGGAGGTAAGATCAACATGTGCATCTAAATCCTAAAAGATTCAGAAATTCCAATTATACGGCATTTGAAACATTTAAAGATGAAATACTACCTTCAAAACTTCTGCACTGTGTAAATCAGCCAGCTGGCTCTGAAAATTACAACATAGAAACATAAATGAAAAATTGGTAATATGGGGAGGGGGGGGGGAGGGAGGCAGGGAGGGAGAGAGAGAGATATCCAAGATAGCAAAGAACAGACTTTAATTCGATAAGCTTCAGAAAGCTCCTCTTGAAGATTGTGCTTCTCTCTTGTGCATACAGCTAGTTTCTTTCTTAAGCCCTCAATCTCCTGCTCCAAACCAGCTGTCCTAATAGGTGATCAATTAGACTATAACAAGATGTTACTTTCACAACAAAAACAAGAATAGCAATAGAAAACTTAAGAGATAACAGCACACCTTTGGAAATGCATTCGAGTAGCTGCAGCAAGATAACCAGGGCCAGCTTGTTGGAGGCATAATTGCTCAATATCTTTTTGGAGTTCGGCACGCTCTGCATGACAACACCATCATATGCAGATCTTTATGTACAACAATGCAAAGAAAAACAATGTAATATGATTTCCACCATGTCCTTAGTCCCAAAGGAAATGAATTTATATCACAAGTGATAAGGTCTCAACAGAAAGGTGCTTGGCCTAGGCTTAATCCATGCTCCATTATTTGCATAAAAGCAGAATAGCGTTCATAATCAAGTACTAAAAGGATATTCTTCTGCATTCTGCATAAGAAAAAAGGATGCTACCCTTCTACTATGAAAACATGTAACTCGCCTAAAACCAACTTGGCATGCAAGTAAACTACATAGCAGATAATTACAATCATACAATCTATTGAATCAATTAGTACAACATAAAAATAACAGCCAAATGTAGAATATATAGCAGGTCAGGTTCAGATACATGACAGAAAGGATGGAAGAGATAATACCATGTTGAAGTTGTTCCACACGCGAAGTTAAGTATTCTACTTCAACACCTCTTTCATCCAATTCTATCAGAGAGAGAAAGAAATGAAGTCAATAAGCATTAATATAGAGTGTCTGAGTATGATTGTAAGACATTGATACATAATTAAAAGCAAAAAAAATCACCACGAGATTACAATTAAAGAGTAAAAATAAGGAGTAAAAAATTCTGATAAACGACCGAAAGGATGTAAGAGATAATACCATGTTGAAGTTGTTCAACACGAGAAGTTAAGTGTTTCACTTCAATACTTCTTTCATCCATTTCTAGCAGGGAAAGACAAATGAAGCCAAAAAGTATTAATATAAATATGATAGCAAGAAGCTAATACAAATGTATAAGAAAAAAATCATCACAAAAAGTAGCTTGAAGGTGAATAATGATGTAAAACTTGGCAAACTGGATGTCACAGGAAAAACACTTCTCCACTTCTCTCCAACACCAAGTAACTCCCTACAGCCGATTACTTTTAAGTATACCAGTTTACTGTACCGCATTCATTTTTTTGCAAGAGGTATATGCAGGCACTCTTATTTTATTTTTTTTTAAATCAATTAAAGTCTCAAAGGCTTACTAGACAAAAAGAATTAGGAGAATTTTGTGAGCAATTTGCTTATGACCAGCCATATAAGGCTAATAAAAAATTAAAACTAAAAATAAGCACGAGAAAAGACATTCTTTTAAAAAGAAAAAGAATTTTTTTTTCAAAAAAAAAAAGATGAGGATAAGAAAAAATCTAAAAGGGATAAAAAATGTAAAAATAAAATTCACTGTTATAAGTGCGGAAAAATCGGACATTATGCAAATAAATGTTATACGAAAAAGAAAATTAATGAGATAGAAGATGAAGGTCTCAAAAGAATGTTATACAAAATTATGATTAATAGTGATACTGAATAAGATGAATCATATTCATCGTCATCTGAATCAGAAGAGGATAAACCTTGTCAATGCTCAGTTAATAATTATAATGATACTAATTATTGGAAAGCTATTGTTCAAATGAACGGCTTATCTATAAATGTTATAACATCAAATCAAGATCTCATAATAAAATTCTTTCAGAAGAAATCTCTACTGAGTTAAAGAAAGAAATTATAGTCTTTATTAGAAAAAACTAAGGAAATAAAAGAAAAACCAAACATTGATAATGTTTATAAAATGTCCGAAGTCTTAAAAAGAAAACAAAATTCTGCTTCAACTTCAAAAGTTCTTTCTTTATCCGATCTTAATAAAGAAACTCAAGAATTAACAAAAGGAAGTAATATTATTAAAACAAGATAATAAATATATTATCTCTAAAATTGATAATGATCAAGAAGAGAATAATAATTCTCTTGTTACTCCACAAAATAATTCACCAAAACATTCTGAAAAAGACAATGAAATTGAAAGTTCTGACTTTCTACAAATTTTAAAACAAGTTACATCTCAAAAGTGGTATATAAAAATTACTCTGGCAATAGCCGAGCAAATATTTATACCAGACCTAATAGCTCTGGTAGATAGTAGTGCAGATTTAAATTGTATCAATGAAGGAATTGTACCATCAGTTTTTTGAAATAACTACCCAGACACTAAGTAGTGCCAATGGGAATAAATTAGATGTAAAATATAAATTACCTAATGCACATATATGTATACAAGAAACATGTATCCCTATTCCATGTGTCTTAGTCAAAAATTTATCCCAACATGTAATACTTGGGACTCCATTTTTGCTTAATATAATGCCTATAAATCAAATTGATACCCAAGGCATTAAAGCCACCTATAAAAGTAAGGAAACTATATTTGAATTCATTTCTGGTCCTCAGACTTGTTTATTTAACAAAGTCAAAAATGTGCTTCTTAAAAAAAAATCAGATTAATTTTCTAAAAGAAGGAAGTATTATTTGTTCAAATAGAAGAACAAATCAAAAAGAATAAAGAGTTAATAACTCAAATAGAAGAAAATTTTAAATTAACTGTATGTAGTGATGTTCCAAATGCTTTTTAGGACAGGAAAAGACATATTATCTCATTACCCTATATAGATAATTTTGATGAGAAAAATATTCCTACAAAATCAAGACCTTGTCAAATGAATAAAGAATATCTTGACTTCTGTAAAAAGGAAATAAAATCTCTTATAGAGAAAAGATTAATAAGAAAATCTTATTCGCCTTGGAGTTGTACGGCATTTTATGTAAATAATCATGTAGAACAAGAGAGGTATTCCTCGCTTAGTTATTAGTTACAAGCATTTAAATGCTGTCCTTAAATGGATAAGATGTCCCATTCCAAATAAAAGGGATCTGTTAAATCGCCTTCATAATGCAAAAATATTTTCAAAATTTGATTTAAAATCTGGATATTACTAGATTCAGATAGAAGAAAAAGACATATAAAACAACCTTTATAGTTCCTTTTGGGCATTATGAATGGAATGTAATGTCATTTGGACTTAAAAATACCCTTTCAGAATTTTAAAATATTATGAATGGTATACTCATTCCTTTTACCGATTTTATATATATAGATGATGTTTTAATTTTCTCACCAACATTTGAGCAACATGTTAAATATTTAGAAATATTTCGTAACTTGGTATTACGAAATGGGTTAGCAATATCTGCCCCAAAAATAAAATTATTTTAAACACAAGTTAGATTTTTGGGTCATAATATCCATAAAAGAACAATAGTTCCTATAGATAGAAGCATTAAATTTGCATCCAAATTCCTTGATGTAATAACTGATAATAAATAGTTACAAAGATTTTTAGGTGCTTTAAATTACATAGCAGATTATTATAAAAATCTGGCACAAGATACATCTATTTTATATAGTAGATTAAAGAAAAATGCAAACTCATGGTCAGCTAAACATACTGAAGCTATACGAAAGATTAAATCTCAGGTTAAATGTCTACCACGTATTCAATTAGCCAATATACATTGGTATAAAATAGTTGAAACAGATGTGTCGAATATAAGCTACGGAGATATCCTCAAACAAATAGATCCTGATACAAATAAAGAACAATTAGTTCGATTTACTTCTGGAAAATAGGATAAAGAGCAATTTAATTATTCAACAATTAAAAAAGAAATGTTGTCGATTATTAAATATCTTTCTAAATTTAGGGATGATATTCTTAATCAAGAATTTCTCTTACGTATTGATTGTAGTTCAGCCAAATGTGTTATTAAAAAAGATGTTAAAAATCTTATCTCTAAGCAAATATTTGCTAGATGACAAGCAGAATTAGCTATGTATCAATTCAAAATTGAATATATTAAAGGTTGTCATAATCATCTGCCTAACTTTCTTGTGAATTTTTATAGGGTTCCAATAAGACGGAATAGTCCCTCTTCTTTAGGGAGGGGGAGAGGAGATAGTAATCAGCAGCATACTCATACTCCTTTTTCTCAGCCTAATTCTTGACATACAATTGCTAAAAAGGGTAATAGTAACAGTCCACCCCCTTCCTTTTATAAAGCAATAAACGATCTAATCAGCAAGGAAGATACTCCTGAACCATTTTCCTCTATAATTAAAAAAAATGTAGAATGGAACACTATAAAACAATATGAAATTGTTCTATATTTAGAACAAGAGGATATTCCTCTTATGAATGATTGTGAAAAACTACGACAGAAATATCTGCATGCAGCATATTACCCGACTCTATGTTTAAAGTCTAGAGCTTGGATTAAAACCCTTGTTATACAAAAGGGTATGGAAACAACTCATTTCTGGAGTAACGACAACCAAAATGTTCCCCCCAGCTTTAGTAAATGTATTATTCAGGAAGTTATACGACCCAGAGATTAGGCAATGAGCCATTGCCCTGATCAAGAACTATTAATGGAGGAGAAATTGCAAACTCTTAGGACAATAGAACTCACAGTTTGAAAAGGAAAAAAATCTGCAAACTCTTAACGTAGGAGAACTCACGCTTGAAATTTTTTGACGGAAGACTCAGACTCTAGATGATTTCTCGGTGATTAGCTCAGACTCTTGGTCAGCTCTTGATGACGGATCTTGGTGATTGGCTCTCGTTCTTGATGAATTCTTGGCGATGGATTTAATTCGTGATGCTATTTAAAACATTTGATAGCTGCGAGTGCTATTTAAAACACCTAAGACGTTTCTAGGGGCAAAACTGTAAAACTACAAAAAAAATTAAAGAAAAGAAAGAACATATATTAAATCTACATTCTTATCAGCTAATATTCACATAGATAAACCGTAAGAAATAATTTAGCCAGACATGAATGAGCTTAATAAGGCTCTGATACTGAATTTACAACACGTAGCAATAACAATAAAAGTAAAAGACTACTTACAGAGTGAGATCAGCAAACTTTAGAATTATTCAACACCCAGCAATAACAAAAAGTAAAAGACTACTTACAGAGTGAGACTAGCAAAATTTAGAATTATTTCTTGATCCACGCCGCTTTATAAGAAAATATTTTTATTATAAGAGGAAATAATCTACAAGAAGAATTATTTCTTGATCCACGCCGCTTTATAAGAAAATATTTTTATTATAAGAGGAAATAATCTACAAGAGGAGAAAACACTTACAATCTTACACTTTATAAGAAAATATTTTTATTATAAGAGGAAATAATCTACAAGAGGAGAAAACACTTACAATCTTACACTCCTACAAACTATTTTTTTCAATCTTACATCACTCGACTATCTTCTCTCAGATATATATAACCTTTAGAAGCCTTTCGAAGCTTTTAGAAGGAATCTTATAAAGTTTACACATCACTTTCATACATTATTTTTATTTTTATAAAGTTGTACGGTATTCCCACGTAATCACTTAGAAAGTGAGCCTAAAGTTGATATGTCGTCGTCGCTCTCTAAATTTGATGCTTTTGCTTTCTGTCATTCAAAAAGGAAATGCTTTTATACAAAGTAAAGAGAATAGGATTTTTAAGCAACTCCTTTGTCTTTGCTATCTGGATGAATATCATTCAGGATCCCCATTGCTGTATTCCACATAGTATCAATGTCATCATCAGGGTCTTGAGCATCTGGAAGAATAATATCTTCTGAACCTGTACTTTTGGTTGACTTAGTATCACTGGTGTCAAATGCTTCAAAAAACTATTTTTTTCATATATTCTAAGAATTTTTGTTGTATTTCTGGTTCAGATGCCTGAGGGTATTTCCTTTTCATCATCTTTGCTATTTTCAACATAGATTTTCTTTCTGAACTTCTTGAGTTATAGCATTTTCGAGAATCTTATTATTTCTCTTAATTATTTCTTCGATTGTTTTATTTTTTCTTCAACAACTATTCCAGACCACCATCGTCAATGAAATTTCCTTTTAAGATAAGGAAGATGAGAGTTTGTTCAATCTGTGTCAAAAGACCACGTCCATATTCAGGGTATCTCTGTTTCAGCAAAAAAATAGATAGCACATAATCCATCAATAATTTCATTATCATTTAATTTTATTATAACTGGATGGGATTCTATCCAGGAAGAGTATAACTTCGTAATGAGTTCTGGTAAAATTACCATATTAGCATCATAATTAACCCGCCAATCGAAGAACCAAGATGATAATCCCTTATAAATAGCTTCAGAACATAGCTTTATTAGCCATGTATGTTTATTTTTTGGATTCTGATATAAGAATACTTTATAAAATGCTTGCTGATAATCCCAGTAATTAAAATGATATAACTCTTTGGTTGTTTGGGATTTTACCAAGGGTAATTCTTAATTAGGGCTCATTGCCCAATCTCTGAGTCGTATAACTTCCTGAATAATACATTTACTAAAGCTGGGGGAACATTATGATTGTCGTTACTCCAGAAATGGGTTATTTCCATACCCTTTTGTATAACAAGGGTTTCCATCCAAGCTCTAGACTTTTAAAGCTAAAATCGGGTAATATGTTATATCCAGATATTTCTATCGTAGTTTTTCACAATCATTCATAAGAGGAATATCCTCTTGTTCTAAATATAGAACAATTTCATATTGTTTTATAGTGTTCCATTCTACCTCTTTTTTAATTATTGAGGAAAATGATTCAGGAGTATCTTCCTTGCTGATAAGACCGTTTAAACCTTTATAAAATGAAGTAGATGGACTGTTACTATTGCCCATTTAGCAATTGTACGCCAAGAAGTATATAAGTATCATTTTCTTCAAATAATACATTAGCTGGTGTTGGTCTTTTATAATAATATCTTTCTAACCTTTTAGGACCATTTTTAATTTTATTATTAGATGAAAATTGATTTTCTATTGATATTATTTGGTTTGGAGTAATTTCTCCTTCTGAAGAACTATTATGAATAGTTTGTAAATTAATTGGATTTCTTTCATCTTCTGACGGACTGTCATCATTAGAAATAACTGATGAGGTAGATGCTTCATACTCTAAAGAATGTAGTCTCGAATCGTTTAGTTTTTTAGATAATATTTCAATAATTTCAGATGTTACTTTACCTCCACATTTAAATCCTGATATATCAATGAGAGCTTTAATAGTTGCTTTTTCTATATTTGATATAGGAGCTTTATTTTTTCTAATAATTTTAATGATGGTATAATATCATTTATTTTACTGACTAATTTGTCTATAGCATCTTCAATTCTAATTAATTGTTAACCTACAACTTGAAGATGAATATTTGTATAATTATTTTCTTATAAAAAATAATCAAAATATCTGATTTTGTAAATGTCTCTATTAGGGACATCTGGAATTGTCCATTTATTTAAAGCCTCTAATTCAGAGGGATACTCTGTTAATTGCTATTAAAACATTAGAACGAACCACTACTATAGATCACGATGAACAGACCATATAATTACTTGGTTCAATTGATATTGAACCATATATGGATAAATACAAATATATTTATATAGGCTTAATCCAAATAGCCTTTAGGCCTTTGACATTACAAGGGTTAAACGCCTCTTTATTAACTTGCTTAAGAGATGCAAGATGTCTTGACTGGACCCAATCATTAATGGGAATAATGAAAACAAGTCTATGTAACGGACCAGTTTATTTCAATGTCTATCCAAATTAAAGTTTGTCATTAACTGATCCTAATATTTTTGAGGCAATAAGTCTAAATATTAAAACGCATATGCTTTCTTATAAGTATATAATTATATATCATATACATATATAAATATTATAAAGACATGCTTTCTTATAAGTGTGTGTGTGTATGAGAAAAATGGGTATGCTTGGTAGTGAGGTGTCACATCCCCTCCACTCATTCAAATGGTTGCATATCCTCATGCACTCCTCAACCCATGTGAATGTGGTCCTCCTATTTGAATGAACGGAGAGGAATGTGTCACCTCACTACCAAGCACAAAATTTGTGCTTGGTACCAAACATACCTATTTCTCTCTCTCTCTCTCTCTCTCTCTCTCTCTATATATATATATATATATATTATCCTCATGCACTCCTCAACCCATGTGAATGTGGTCCTCCTATTTGAATGAACGGAGAGGAATGTGTCACCTCACTACCAAGCACAAAATTTGTGCTTGGTACCAAACATACCTATTTCTCTCTCTCTCTCTCTCTCTCTCTCTCTATA